CTAACCAATCGACCGTCTCCATGTCCTCCCGCGCCCACTGGTCCACAGTCGCTCCGCCGACGCCCGTCAGCACCTGCGCCCTGCGCCGCAGCTCCGCTTGCACGGCATCCGAGACGCTCCGGTCAATCTCACCACCGCCCCCCAGGAGCTCCCGCAGTTTGTCCTTGGCAGTTTCGAGCCATAAGGCCACCGCCTCGTCGCGCTCGTATACCGCGCGGCCTCGGACGAGACCCCAGACCCGCCGCGCAAAGTCGGGCCAGGCTCGCAGCAGGGCGGCCACGGCAATGTAGGCGTCGCCGCCGCAGCGGCATGTCGATGTCCCGGCGTTGTTGAGCACGTTGGCATATAGCGGCAGGTACCGGTTGCTCACTGGGATGCTGCAGCCGTCGAGGGTTCTGAGGACTAGAATGGCGCTGTGAGTGTCGAATGTAGATGGAGATGCTGTCCAGTGGTGCACGTTGCCAGGGCGTTGGAGGCGGGCGGGAGCTGTCGAAGCTGGCCGAGGTGGCGGTGGCGGCGGTGGTGATTGGAGCTCTGCGAGCGCCGCCCACCCCTCTCCCTCATACACGATAGGTCCATCTTGAGTATATGCTTCGAGTGGTGAAGGTGAGTCAAGCCGGTTTGGTAGCTCTGTGAACTTTGCATGGTGCGGTCTGTTCTTACCATTACTCTCCCTCTTTTGCTCTTCCTCTTCTTCGACATCGTCCTCATCGTCCTCTTTCTCCTCCTCGTCATCGTCTGTCTCCCTCTCTCCCGGCGCTACTGTTGTCGCTGGGGTGATGGGAGGGGACTGCGGCGACGCGTCAACCTTGGGCTTGTATTTTTCGTGCGCTGCACAGCGAAAGGAATGCTCGGCAGGCGGTGATGATGATGGTGACGTGTCTATGTGCAAGAGCTTCTTGCACTTGTTGGAGATTGAGCGACGCATGATGTTCAGTCTTCTGTGGTATCTGTTTGGTGTATCGTGGGTGAGTTGGCTTACTTGATGTGCTTGAAATGGTTCAATTTGATTGAATGATCAAAGCGTAATGAACCGGGCATGGAGAAGTCGGTTGATGCCATTCTGTCGGTCGGTTTTTGAACACCAGACTCGCTGCCGAGAGTTGATTAACATGGTAACAGGTTGTTGTAGCGACAAAGGAATTGTTCCCCGGGAGAACGTGGGGGAACAATGGTGTATTCGTCGACGGTGGGCAGATCACAATGGCATTGTCAAGGTGGGGAGATTCTGGAATAATGAGCTTGTGATTTATGAAACGTGACAGTCAATGAAATTGTATGTCAATGAAAATCACACGATACGCGCCAGGGAATCTCCGTATCTTGGAGATTGTAAGATTATCCTCCTTGAGAGAAAAGTGAAGTACAACAAATCAGATTGAATTGAATGGATTGCACAGCAATCGTGCTACCCTTTTTGTGAAGACATAAATTATGTTCTTTCCATCAGTATTTCCGTTACAGCAATGAGAAGGAGAAAGGATTTTGGAAATCCGTGACTGACAACCAGTGCTTCCATGCGTAGTAGAGCGCAACGTTCCAACCCATCTATTGACGTTGATATTTATTTGAGTAGAATCTCGAACAAAAAGATGTGGTATTATGGTCCAGCTCAAAATATGGACTCCACTGCTTTGCCTGAGATCTGCCGGCGTGGGAGAACAGACGAGTCGCGTACTCGAGAATTCCATCCGAAGTCAGGCGTGATTCTCGTCGCAGCTAGAACTCGCATACTAAGAGAAACGGAAAGACCAGCCCTACTACGTGGAAGCGCGTTATCTACCTAGAGATGCAAAGCGCCGCAATCCGATCTCGTGCCAATCTTTTCTCGCTTTCTCGCCCTGAAGTGTTCTTCCAGATCATTCTAGAAGTGCCAGCAATATCCATCATGGGACCTGGAATCAAAGCTCCCGGCCGTCGCTGTAGATCTGGAAGGATCATATCAATCTGGAATCTTCTTTCAAGTCCCTTGGTGCTACTTCACTCGTTCGAGGCACTGCCCAAGATTGCGTACCTATGCACGTCAACAACATGCAAATGAAAAGATTAAGAATTTCAATAATGGAAAGTAAAACTGGCGCATCCAGACTATCCAGTAGCTCAAGTAGTGAACTCCTTGAGACCGGCCTTGGAAAGCTGATCTTCTGACCGGGAGACCACATGTGCATATTTTCGAGTCTCGACCACTGAATGAGTAAGAGAAACAAAGTTATGGCTGCATCTGCGGTCGTCAGAGGTCCAGATGCATCCATGGACTGGTACATCTGTGCAATTGACAACGGATTGAAAGGAGGTTAGACTGCTCCTTCCACTACCCAAATATGATTGCGCACCGCGGTCACAGCTTTCTAAGTTCCGGGAGGCACTTTCAGATCGTGCTTTCCACCAGCACTTTACTTTTGAGTCCAGACCCTCAACCATCATCCGATATGGAACGTGCCGATACAGTGCCTACCTGTGTTGGGATGGAAATGACTCAGAAATTATCCGATGAACAGGAAAGGACGAATGTCATCCCAAGGCGCCTGACTACTGTTGCTTTTTCCAGATGGCCTTTATATTCTCTCCATTTCATCCCATCTCTTTCGATTCTTCTCTGTATTTCTCCACTCTCTTCCGCTTCCTATCATTTTGCCCAACTTCAAGTCATGGCCAATCCACTCTCTTCGATCCCCTTCAATCTGCCTAGCCCGAGGTCAAGCGCAAGCAGGAGCATTGGAAGTCTCTCGGCATGCAGCAGCTTCGCGAGCCTTCGTTCTGTGTCAATTACGCCAACAGGTTCGAGTCCCCGGGCATGGCGCTCCTGCAAATTGCTGGCTACCAACGCAACGCCCTGGCTTATCTGGTTTCCGCCTACGGACTCAGGTTCTTGGGGAACAATGGTAGATGGTCGGTCTCACTGTCCCCCTTTCTTTGCTGACCCGACTTTGCTGACCTCAAGGTTGCTGGTAGTGGCTGCTCTTCTGGTGGCAGCCAAAGCGAGTTGCCAAGTACGGGCAATACGACCACGTCGACCTCCCGTACAGCGGGGAGGTCTGTCATCCCGGCCAGTGACGACGGCGAGGAACCCATCTCGATGCTACAGCGTCGACAGACTGGTCATGACCATGGCGACCACTCTCATGACGCATCTGTCTCTGGAACCACGGTGTATCAAGGCGCTATCATTTGCGAAGACCCCGAGCAGCACCGCAGCCAGTCGTCATGTGGTGATACCGGAATACATAGTACCCATAAAGATGTAGCGCAGGCAGACCGAGACGAGAGCGCCGCGCTGATCTGGGCGGCCACGCGCGCGTGGAATCGTTTCCCACGCACCAATTTGGCGAACCTGTTCGCCAAGAAAGAGGTGAGCACAACGTGTTTCTTGGAAATATGTTGGATGTTGGATTCTGACATGTATTTCAGGAAGCCGTGGCGAAGTTTTCACCCCTCCTGGGAGAGACTTCGTTTCTGCCGTCGGCCGCTCCCCGGGCTCCGGACCCGCCGCGCCCTCCCCCTCCCGTCGAGCGCCGGGCAAAGCGCCCGATAGACATGGTGATTGAAGATTCGGAGGAGGAAGACGACGAGTAGTGGTTTTTCTTTCCTTTTTGGGCTTGGGTCTGTGGTCTGGGTTCTTTCTCTCTGGGGTTTTTCTGTGTTCTTTTCTCCCAACCTCTTTTGTTTTTTTCCCTCTTGGGTTTGCCTTCGCTTTACCTCTTATTCGGTCTTCTCTACTTATCGGATGTACTTATCGGATGAATGGATCTGTATTATAAGTAACATAAAAAAGGGAACAGAAAAAGAAAAAGACAAAAAGAAAAAAATTATTTTTATCCGAACTGATGTTTTCATCTGATGTTGATTTGCTCAAAATAAAAAACGATCTTATTCAAAATAGATCAGCACATACTCATTTGAAAAATTTCATCCCATAATGCGCCTAGACGTCTCCTCATAGGTGTTTGCGGTGCTGGACATTAGGCTGGAGCTGGTTTGGACAAGTCTTCTATCATAAATATCAAGCCATGTCCCTCGTTTCTCAAGATTCAACCATCTTTACGAAACGGTTTTGTTCGTAAACCTCCATATGATAGATTTCGTCCTGTGTCAAGGAGCAGCTGGCTCTGCGGCAGACATACTTGAGCAGGGTCGAAAACTGACAGGTATTGACCAGATGTGCATTCCAAACAGAACACCTCTGCTTCTTGCGGTAGGACGCGGTTGGATTCCCTCCATAAAAGATATCTGACCTTCACTGTGGTTCTTTGATAATGTATGTCTGCTTAATTTTTACTGGCAGCTGCTATACAAACAGCTGTCATTGCATGCGTGTCTCTCAACCGTGACGTCCGAGGCGAGCAAGTATGGACTCGAATTTCCCACAAACACAAATAAACGTTGACTTATGCCAATTGCTGTGTCCAAGTACTTATCGCACTACATCTAGACATTGCACAAATACTCGAAATAGCTTTATCCTGCTCATTTCATTTGGGAAACACTCTGCTTTGAGGCTTATCGAGTGATATTGATCAAGCCCAACAAGTTGCCCAGAACATGAGCTGACTTAGCTGCGCGAGATACACAATGCGAGGCGTCATAGCTGAGAATATCATCTGTATTTGATAGTCTGATAAGTAATACCTCAGGGCGGCCTCGGCGCCCACCAGCAATGCTTCCATGGTTACTGGTATGGGCAGCACAATTTCGGGGTGTTGGAATTCAGTCAGTGGCTCTCATTCCCCACAAGCTACGGCGTAGAACCGCCTAAGCATGGGGGCCATGGGGCACAAAGTTGTGGCGCCGAGGGGGAAAAAAAGAAATGGACCTGAAATAGCCGCACACTTGTGAGACACATTTTCGTACGAAAAAGTACACTTCGCCATGCCAACTGGGATAGACCCGCGCTTGGATCGAAGCTCCTTCACACATCGCTGGCGGCATCATCAAATGAAGGGCCTGACTGGCTTATATAAGTGAAAATAAAAAAGAGAATCAAAGAAATTGGAAAAAAAATCTGGAGACACGGGGAATCGAACCCCGGACCTTTCCCAAGGATTGTAAGAATGCGAAGGGAACGTTATACCCCTAAACCATGTCCCCTAGGGTATTTGTTGTTTAAACGCGACTTAATTGCAAATAACACACCTCAATGTGAGGAGGGAGTCAGCCGGGGATGGACGGCTGGAGGGGCCGCTTGGCGTCTTACTCGGAGTTGACCGGAGTCAAAGTGGGGCCCTCGAAAGCCTCTCTTCGAATGCGTGGAAGTCTCGGGTCAAGTCGAGTCAGTTAGGCGCAGGTCATTCTGATTCTTTGATATCGCTTCTTCAGGTCATGTGCTGGACCAACAACTCTGACGAAGAGAGAGATAGCGGCGGTCGTCTGAGATGAGACCGCAGAGTAGGAGAAGGTCTTTCCAACCCTCACAAATCCATCTATCTCTTTGCTTGAACGAGAAAAGTATCTGGCTTGGACATTGAGCCTCGAGGCATATGATCCATGTTTTGGCGCCTAGAATATATGGTCAGTCACAACGTTAATGGGGTCAGTAGCAGCACAGAGTCACGTGATTTCTGATTCTAATACTAATGATTGCTGCTCAAACTAATTCTCTCTTTGACATATTGTGGCGATGTAGGAAGTAACGACTATATCTTGAGCCGTGGGTCAATGAATGATGCTGTGCGAGGCCTGGCCAATGGCTTCAATAAGGACCCACCCCGCCCGTCTATAGTGCACGGTGGCCCAATCATGGCAGTCGCATACAAATGCTAGATCGCAACACAATCAGACCAGCGTACGTAGATAGATGTGTATCGAGTACAAATTTTTAATTGCAGTATATATGGAGCCAAGAGCAGGTAGATGTGTAAAGCTGAGTACTCAGATAGGTCAACCGCAGTTACAATACAATGTAGGTACTCCGTAAGTTCGTAGGCAGAGTTAAGTGCTCAGGTACCTCGTGGGTAACAACTAGGGCTGGGAAGCGCTCGCGCAGGCACGTCTCGCCATGTACTGCAATCGCATCGCAGTTACTTGCAAAGAAAATACTTGCGTTCGTGCGACCTTTTCACGACTCCTTGACTTTTGGCTGTCCCTTGATTGACCGCGCAATCTTCAAAGAAAACACCCAGGCGAGCATGCACGCTTCCAGGCCCAAGAGTCCGATCCAGAGCGTATCCAAGACATGCACCTCCAGGCCCCAGGGCAGGAGGCCCTCCAGATTCCACCGGAGCGGCCCGTACGAGATCTGCATCAGCAGGAATGCCACAAAGGTGTAATATGAATACCAATATGGTCTGCAGTTTCCAGTCAGTATGAAATTCGCATACAGTAAAGGTGAGGCTTGATGCAATTAAAGTGCTGGGGCGCCGATGCAGCGGCGTTGAATCCGGGGGTTCAGTGTTGTATACTTGGGTTCAATGCATCTCGCGACTAGCAAATACTGCATGTCTCATTGCAATTAAATTACAAGGAAAAAAGAGATGAGATTGTAGTATAAAGTCACTGGTACATTTAAAAAGAATGCAAACTTACTTGGTCTTTTCAGTGATCAAAGTCCATCGCGGCCTCGGCTCGGCGTAGCTCTGTGATGCCTGGATCGCGACGACGAGACCACAGGCGATGAAGACCCAGATGAGGAGAATGCGCTGCAGGAGGCTGAGCTCTTGCGGTGGGAAATACGATTCCAGCATCCTTCTTTTCTTTCTATATATCTTTTCCCTTGTCTCAGCTAGGCCCGGGTCAAATGACTGATTGTCTCAAAAGTGTCCTTTACGGAACGGCTTTGGGACACGTTGTATCTTTGGGATTTTCTTTTTGTTGGTGTGGTACTGGCTGAAAAGAGGCGCTGCGGGCGTGGTGGTATTCAGCTAGGTTAATTTAGGTGGCTCCCGTGTGGTAGGATCTGGATCTGGGGCGAGACAAGTTCTTGTAGAATCCGGGGAAGACGATCACGGCGGCTATATGCGAGCCGCGAGAAATAGTTCCGTGGAGTAGATAGTAAAAGCAGTGGCAATTTCATGTCCTGGCCGTCTTACTTATTGGCTTTTAATCAACTTCCCCGGATCGCCAACGACGAAAAAGAAGCCAAGCTTTGTGGAAAGTCGCTGTCATTTTACCCGGTTGCGCGGTCCGAAGACTCCAGGTATTGAAAGCGAAGGATCCCCGCTCAAGTAGCATTCGCTAAGTCGTGGGAAAATGCAAGGATGTTTAATCTCATACTGTGGCGGGAAGCTTTGTGCTTTGAATTGAAAGTCGCCGGTATAGGAACAATAATTGCTCGGAAGATATATCCACTTGCTGAATATGTGTTTGATCGGTTGGGGAAACAAAGTATACAAATCGTAAAAGCGGAGTCGCGATCTTTGTATGTACATATTCTACAAAATTATCATACTCGTCATAAAGGAATGCGAAGCAGGCCGTGATGTAAATCTCAAAGCCTCCATCGCAATGCCGTTGCTCCAGAGAAACCCATGGAACCAAGACTCCCCGGAAACGCCAACTCCATAATATGCATTATACAGTTCGGTAATCACCGTTTCATGCTCTAAGAAGAGCGCGCCTTTCTGCGAGCGTCGAGTTTCTCTTGCTCGCGGACATCACCTCCGGAAGCCTTCCACCATACATCGGTTCCCCATCGAAGCATTCGCTCGACTCCTTGTGTCGGGGTCACTGCTGGGCGGACGTCGAGATAAAAGACGGGCTCGCCGTGCTCATCCGGCTCGCCAGAATAGTAGTCGATGACATAGCGAATCTCTTTCTGCTCGCCGTTGACGTTGCGCGAAACGTACCAGTCGTGGCGATCAAAGGGGAGCTCGGTGCTGCGGTCACTCGTCAGCATGAAAACCAAACAAAAGAGCAAGTATCACAACTTACCCAAACATGGCAGGATATATCCAGCCCATGACTTGGATCATGGTAGCTTTGGGGGTCAAATCCCTGGGCCGGCCTTGGAATCTCATCAGACTTGGCGCCAGCTCGTCGATTTCCTTCTCGTAGCCGTACTTCCTGGCCATGCGGTCAAAGTTGTGTTCTCCAGCCGAGCAAAGCTGCAGACCCTTCTTCAGACCACCAGCAAAGCGCTTCTCCCACTCCATGATCTCGGCCCAGGCACCTTCATTGAGGAAGTTGTGGACGCTGACCATGCTCTCGACGGCAGTCACATCCGTGTCCGTGTATCCCTTACGGAGGAGAGCATTGTACATTTGCTGCGGCGATGGGTATTCCCAAGTACCCGCACCATCGCCTCGCGGAATGGTGGACTCCTCGCGTTCGGTGGGAAGGGCGTGTGTTTGCGAGGCCGCCTTCTCCTGGGACAAGTCGTGGAACATCCAGTTCAGGGGGTTCAACTTTGAGAGGGTGGAAGACTCGTCTGCTGGTTTCGATGTCGCGTGAGGTACTGGGCATGCCGAGGCAAGCGGCGCGGCAGGTTGATCGTGCTTGACTGGGCATGCAGAGGGCGGACTAGGAACGGCATCGTGCTTGACGGGACACGCGGGCGGCGGTGTCAGGGCTTCGGCGGTTTTCTTGTGCATTGGGCATGATGGCTATCACTGCGTTAGATGCGTAGAAGTTGTTGATAGTCGAACCGCGACTTACCGGTGGTGATTGTCCATCAACAGGGAATGGATGGGGTGCAACGGGCCTGCTCGAGGCCTGGCTTGCGGGAGCGTCTGCCCAGAACCAACCCATTTCGAATGAGTCCTCTTGTTGACTAAGTTCGGGATAATTGTTGTATGTTCCGTGCTGCTCTACTGGCGATGGAATGTGCTGTCGTTGCTGTAAGAGACTCGAGGCTGTCGCAAAGAAATTTGGGTGATAGCTGCTACGGTTCGCGCAATCGATCTACAGATAAGGGAGGATCCCGTCAACTTTTTGCCCGTAGAAATTGCCCCCGGCCAAAGACGGAGTGTAAGAACCTGATCAACATGGATTGCAAAGGCTCCGATTGGGCCGCTTGCAAGCGCTATGCTGACTACCGTTAGCCCCTACCTTTCAGGCGGTGCCGGCCGGTTCAGGGATGTCGAAGCCCACCTCGGACTTGACAAGTGCTGTACGTCACTATTCCTCAGTGACCAGAGGCAGATGCCAGCGCCCCTACCGTTAGCTTTGAGCTTGTCGCAAACCGCCAACAACCCATCACGACGCGACAGGAAAAGAACCTCTTCGAATGCTGCAACGATGATACGTCGCTCCTACAGGCGACACTCACATTCGTAATACGATGAGGACGGTCTGCCTCCTGGGCCGGCTGTGTGCTCGTCGAGGTGCAGCTCACGCCCGCCCGAGGATACCGAGCTTCGCCAACCACCATGGCCTCGCTAGATGGCAGTCGACCTTTGGACACGGCGGGCGCTCACAATGGCAGGCTCCGCCGTCTTCCAAGTTCATGCTCTATGCAACTGCCCAAGGAGTCGCTCTTGGTACCGCTGCCTTTATCAAACTTGCCGAGAAGGACGACAAGGACGAGAACAACAAATTGACGTCCGAAGAGCGCATGCTACAAGTATCACGAGAAGAGATCAAGAAAACCAAGGACGAGACGAGCGGATTCTTCACGCGGTTCCGCCATAATGTTGCCTACTATGTAGACGTGTACTTTTGGGAGCCAATCTGTACAGGTGTCCGATTCTTGCACCTTGTCGTCATCTTTGTGCCGGTCATACTTACAGTGCCTGCCATATGGCTCGGTAACCGCCAGGCAGAGCGCGACAATGAAAGGTCTGGAACTCTCTGGTGGTATGGATTCCTCGTACAAGCCATGGAATGGGCAGGTCCGGCTTTTATCAAGGTAAATATTGGCCCTACCTTGATGATTGTGACATCTCATTAATATCATGCCCAGCTTGGCCAATGGGCTGCCTCGAGAACCGACATTTTCCCTACCGAAATGTGCGACATCATGTCCAAGCTACACTCAAATGCGCCCGCGCATTCTATACATGCCACCAAGAAGACACTAGAAGCTGCTTTCGATGGACGGTCCTTTGACGATATTTTCGAAGAATTTGACGAGAAGCCACTGGGTGTAGGAGCTATAGCACAGGTCTACAGGGCGAAACTGAAGTCAGACTTGAGTGCACCAGCTGATACTGATG